GCTGCTGCCGCTGAGCTCCCTGCTGAATCTACAGTCTCTGGACCCAACCGGTTCCCCCTCTCTCAAAGGATCTGCCAGAACCTCATCTAGGTACATTCTGAATTAACACACTCCACAAGCCATCTCGCTGCCTAGCTAATCAAACTATCCATCTCTGCAGATGTCAGTGATTCCAGTCCCGGACCTGTACCAGAACCAGTTCATAATTACTCTGTATGTTTTTCAATAAACTCTGTTAAACTTTTACTCAGCTTCCTGTAGTGTTCTGCATGTGGGTTCAGCCTCTTAAGCCTATCATGACACAGATGACCCGGTTTATACCCACCTCCATCCCCTCCTCCACCATCGTAGCTAAAGCTTCATCAGAGTTTCATTCCTCCTGGACTCCTACTGCATTCCCTGTTTTATCTCAACCGGTCTGGCAGAAGGCCGCCATGTTAAGCCTGGTTCTGCCAGAGGTTTCTTCCCAATGGGGAGTTTTTCCTCTCCACTGTCGCTTCATGCTTGCTCATCATGACCAGGTTCATGCAACCGGCGTTATCCCAGTTGGACTTCCATCTTCCAGGTCCCTGAGTGAACCTCTTACTATCAGCTCATTCAGTCTATAGACTGACCTTCATCCATCTCCACTCCACCACCAGTTTCAGGCCTGGGGCGATACATCCCTATTCTTTACTCCTGCTCATGCATATCAAAGCAAAATTCAGCTCTATGTTTCCTGCCGAGGTCTGAGCGCCAAAGATTAAAGTAATTGTATCAATATTTCCTTCTAATTGTTGTTTCTTTCTGTGTGAGTTTTTCAGATTAAATTGTTTTTTTTTGTTGTTTTTTGTACACGACTAAAGGGACAAACGCCCGTCGAGGTAGTTTAAAGTTTAGTTTTCATACAAAACTAAAGGGATAAACTTAAATCTGACGTCTTGTGCATAGGTATTGACTATAAGTATGCTGGTTTAACAGAACACCGGTCCATTTAGCATTTACTTTCAGGATGAACCGGGACACAGGTTTTACTCACTGAAGCCATTAAGGTCCGGGCTGGAGGTGGAGAAAGGGTCGTCTTTGTGCAGGGTGCTCACTTTGGTGGTGCTCTTATCAGCAGTGGTGACCGGACCCATCTCCCTCTGCTGGGTGGAGCTACTCGCAGTTTCCTTCTGCTTTTTGGCCAACTTCCTACGAACCAAACAGACATGGAGAAGAAATCTAAACGCAGGCATGAGCACGAGTCTGAAAATAACAAAAGCAGTAATAAGCATCTACATATTAACACACGGAGAAGTACGTTTTGATGAGAAGTGAAATGGTGAATGTAAGGATGAAGGTTAGAATTTCTGCTTTGCATATGTAAAAAAAAAATATGACAAAATTTGGTGAATAGTTGTAGAAATGTTATGTTTTTTTTTGGTTGGTAATTTAAAGGAAAAGTCTGCTGGTCACATTCAGAATACAAACTTCTGAAAGTACTTTAAGT